TAGAATGCTGCAAAAAAGTGATAACTGTGTGTACTTCAAACAAACATCTTTATATGGATTGATTGGTCATCCTGTTAACAGTTTGTTTATCACTAATTAATGCTGAGTGATTGTCATCATTTCTAATTGACTGATTAATTAATTGAGCTAGCCACAAGTTTCCATGGCAAATGACTATACAAAAACATGTCCTTGTAGCTAGAATGTCATTTGAATAAGCTGAAATTTAGCAAATTACAATGTAGCCAAATTGTAAAAAAAAAGTATATTCTCACAATAGAGTTGTAAGTCATTTTAGTTATGTTTAGGTTTACAATTGCCAAAATGTCATGCAACTATTTAAATTTGATTTACTGTTCTGTAAACACATTAAATATTCACTGTTTTTTAATTTCACTCTTTTTGTTGATAAGTAAATTCTGCTAAATTAAATTGCATGAACATGAAAAATAACAAAAGAACTTGTTTCCCTGCCAAGTTGGTGAACTTTAAAACCCAGTGAAATTATCAAAACAGTGAAATTATATGCCAGTGATAATAAATGGTTTTACACTAAGTTCAGATTTGATTACAACAAATTACCTGCGCAGTAGCTGACAACCATGAATTATTATGAGAAAATGATCATATTGTCATCAGTCAAAAAAGTAAATTAAATATCAAAACCACATATAAAATGTGTATATTACAGTAGCACATCCGGTACATGAATCTGAAGCATTTTACGATTTTTTCATGTTGCTATTGTTACTGTTCGCAAATTTGTTAAACAAGCTGGTAAACCGGCTATTCCAGGTATTGCCTATTTTGACTTGTAATTTAAAATGTAGATGCTTGTTGATGCTGCACATGTCAGGAACCATCTGTTGTCTATAAAATAATATTCTGAATATTATAATTTAAACCATTGTTTTTGTCAATATATATGTATTAAGAACTTTGTTACATTTGTAATACTTCATTAACTTCACTGTCTTGTTTTCTCTGACCTATATTCTTTTTATTAAATTGAAAATATTGAATTATATGTTCTCTCCAAAAAATCAGTTCTTCTGTTTGTAGATATACGAGCTGTTAAACTGGGATTATGAGGTTAAAAATAAAAAACGTGATAAGAATGCACTACCTCATATTTTGACTGCAATAGATATATCATTTATTGTTTCATCCATCTGTCAAGCCATTTAAGACTGAGTTACAAACATTTGTGATAGCCAATAAATGTTCATAAAGTGAAATGTTTGGATATTATAGTATTTGGGTTATATATGCACATGTACATTTGTAAATGTACGTTACCTAAACAGCAAGAAGAGTGGAAATTCATATCTTTCTGCATGCTATTAATATATATACTCTGTTATTACTATGTGCTTACTCATTTTGTGAAACAATGTTCAATTTGTTTAATTTTATTGATTTCTAAAATGTTGGTCGCAGAAAGTGTAGTGAAGCTTGAAGCTGAACCTGTGATCGGTGGGTCCAATGTTTCTATCCAGTGTTCTCCCCAGGAATTTAAACCACTGTGGTAGACTAATTTGCATATAATTTGCATATAATTTGCATATAATTTACATATAAGTTGCATATTAATAGAGGTTGACCAAAGCACATTTACACACATTTTTAAAAAAACAAAGTGGCACTTATTTATTAATTTGCTTCATATGTATAAACACTATTCTTTTGAGCTTGGTCATATTGCAAATATTTTTGCTATTTGAGTTAAAATATTATGTTTCATAATTTAGAAGAGTTTGAATTTAAAAATTAAACATTCTTGAATCGTATTATGCAAATGCTGCAGACTATTAGAAACAAACAAATTGTAAAAAGTTAAATGAAACGCATTTGAAACGTTTCACGACTTTGATGATCGAATTTACTACAAAAACATTCTCCTTCAAAAAATTGCTGTTCATTATTCGTACCATCAGCTTCTACAACGTTTACATTTACAGCAATGAACGAACAAATAAAACTTCCAAACGATCATC